AAGAGCCTCACACGGGCTCTCAGTGTGATTTTGTGATAGTTATTAAGTGTTTATGGAGACTGAGTGAAGGAAAACAAACATTTGAATAGAAGTGCCAACAGCCCGAGTTATGAAGTCATGGTGTTTAAATCTAGCGATAGCAGGATTATAAAATCCAGCCAAAATGTCTTGTTAAGGCATTCCTTTTTGTTGCCTCGCAAAAATAAAATAAAAGTAAAAAAATTGATCAAATTTATTGAAAATGTTGATTCCACTTTTTTCCTTTTAATTAACGTTTGGAGTTATGTTATTAAAAATCAGCCCTCAAAACATCTGGATTAGTTGAGAGAGTTTATAAAAGCAATAAAGATCTCATGCAACGTCATGGAAATGCGAGCCTTCATGGCCTCGTTTCCACTCTCTCATCTAAAGGGAATTATACTCAATGTAAAAATGCCCCGAAAAAAATATCCACCTCCTGAATTTTTCCACAATTTTATCAAGTTATGGCCTGAAAACTTCCAGGAATTTTATTGGGATTTTAAGTAACCTGACCAGCACTACACGCAAGCTACAGGAAACATCACTCGTGCTCGCCCCCTTAAGTCCGATACCCCAAAATGAAACAAATCCCTTCAGACGTCACCTGATTAGCAAGAAGAGTCAATTTATGCATTTATTATTGAAAAAACTATAGTGAAGTCATGAAAACATTTTTTTGGCATAAGTTAAAATAGAGTCGCAGAAAAATGAATTAAAATGTGTGGACGATATGGACTTGGGATTTTATTGATATTTTATTGCAAAATTGTGATAACGTTAAAATTATGATTAAAAATGACTTCTCTGCTTCCGTTTTAGACAAATGTTTGGTCTAAATTGGCGTTCGTAGCAGTACAAATAAATACTGTTCATGAGCATGTTTCCCATTTGAAACAACATTCAGGATGCCACTCACTTAAAGACACTTAAACTGCAAACATTACCTGCATTTGATCAGAATTTTAAACTTACTGATATTTATTGATCTTCTTGTGGAACAAACTGAGTGAGAAAATGGCAAAAACAACATTTCTGATAATGCTGTCACTTATATATTGAGACGTAGAATCAATAAGAATCAAAATTCTTATTAGCAATACTTTATGATAAATGACTGAACTTTTTCACATTGGGTCAAACGGTATGAAATCTTTAGCGAGGTGCTGCACCGAGTTCACCTTCATACAACATTCAATGAAACGAAACGGTCAGAGCGTGAAAAAAAAAAAAAAAGAGAAAGAAATGGGCTGGAAGTCAATAAAAACACTGTTGCATAACTCGAGGAATTGAGTGATTTAACATTTTCCTATTTGGGCCGTGAACAGAGCGAAGCGGCAGGCGTGCCTGAAGACGCGCGCCCCGCTGCTTTTCCCATTATACGTTTGCAATGAGGACACGAGGAAGAGAGCGGCGGAAGCTCAAGCAGAGTTCCCTTCGGTCAAAGCGCCGCGTTTTCTCTGTGAGACGGAAAAGAAGCCAGAGCGCCTCCATGGTCCGCTCTGCTGGGTCACCCTGTGAAACGCACTCCTCCTCTCTCCCTTCAACACCAATCGGACTTCTACGTAAAATACCCGGTCTGCCTCAATTTCACCCAGACTATACTTTCCTGAGCAAGCTGGAAAAGCTACGGCAAACTATGCCAGAGCGCCGACTTTTCTTTTGTTTCCAACAAAAAAGAAATGTGCGAGACTTGGGAAGAAAAAAAAAGAAAAAAAGGAAGAAGCATGCAACAGAATGACAATGAATGAAAGCAAGTGCTGAACACAGTTTCCAGCATCACACAGTTGGCATGCTGTTTCTCTAAGGCTACAGCAGTAAACCTTAAACCCTGCTAATCCAGGCCTGCTGTCTAAAACCCCCCAGCAGCTCAAAGGGAAAAACGAATGAGATCACAGTGACTCTCAATGGGCCAAATACCAAGAAAAGGTGAGACACTCTTCATCTGCATAGCTGTGATATGCACACCGGGTGTGGGGGGACTCTGGTTGCTGATAACAAAAGTTGAAAGCAAGTGATAAGGGGCATGATAGCAGATTTTGGAAATATGAAGAACTTTTGACCTCCAAAGCTGATAACTGACGAGGAAGTTTTATTTGACTTATTTATATTTTCATTTCAAAGAAAAGGGCAGGTGAGGGCAGATATTTGATCTATTTTAGACACAAATGTCCAGAATATTTCTGTAACACTGAGAATTTGAGCAAAATCTATTAAGTTTCTACATGCATCAAACACATACCGGCTTCTGAAAGTTTCCCCAACTCATATTTAAGACTTTTTAAACATCGTTATGACTCACGACAGAAATTTGAAGAAAATGACACATTTCGCGATTCTCACGACGACCCGTAGGGTCGAGCCTTTTTGCATAGATTGCACCGAGCATCGTATGGATTAGCAAAAGAAGTCAGCCGATAGTGAAGGCGATCGTTGTCCAGCTGGCTACAGGTTTTAACTTTGCCACGACAGACAAAGAAAAAAAAAACAAAAAAACTTTGCTATATAGCTAGCAAGGCTATATTAGCAGTTAATAGTTATTAGCTAGTTAGCGTTAGCCTCAACCGTCACAGAATGCAATAAAGATGTGACTCAAACCTCATTAAAAAAAAAGGTAAATAGAATTTAAGATCTGCGATTAATATATTTAAGACATTTTAAGGCCTTAATTTTAGATTCACAAGTTTAAGACTATCTGTAATATCTGTAGGTTCTACAGCTTATAGAAAAGAAAAAACAATCCTTGATTATGCTTAAGATTTTTGTAGTGTGATGGGCATTTTACTGCTCTTTTAAAATCTAGAACTTCTGGACATTTTAAATAAGTAACTGAGTTAAATGATAATTCCTTTAGAAAAAAAAAGTCAATTTTGCTGCATTTATTTTCCTGGTAAAAACTCCTTAAAAAAAGAAAAAGTCACAGTTTTTGACCCAGCCTAAGGAACACAAGTTCAACCTGAATTTAAAAACGTGTGGCGGCCAAACGGGTCTTACTTATGACTATACTGACAAGCAAAATGTTAAATTTAATGTATAAAATGAAAATCCAACAAAAAAAAGATAAGTTAATACAGATCAATGTGAAAAATGTTATCAATAAAATACAACAATGAACAGTAAAATAAAAGACAATTTCATGCTTCCAAAATACAACCAACTCACTGACAAACTTCTGTTTATTTAAACTCAATAAACCAAATTTTCCTCCATGAGTTGGACGCCCCTGACTAGTCATCCTACCAGTATTGGACACCTCATCCGTCCCTGTGCCAGGCCACACACCAACACTGAATTGGGTTGGGGTCAGGAGACGCCTATAACAGGCAACACCTCTGAGTCCACTGACTATTTATGACCACTGTACTGCTGTGGTTAAATCCCCAAACCAGCGGGGAAAATGTCTGTGAGCAATAGAGAGCTACTCTTTCTTTGTCAAGTTTCACCAACTCAAATACATGCTTATTAACGCATATAGTTGATTCGCTACGTGCGGCCAGTAGGTCATCAGAGTGCTTCACATAAACAGACACATTTACTGCTGAAGCGAAGATTCAAGTCAGTTCTTTGTTTTGGTCCATTATATGCAGCCTCAATAAAATACATTAAAATGTGCGACTGTAAAAAAGTACAGTGCAAAAACAAAATCGCACCAAGTACTTTTGTTCCAGTTTCTAGTGCAAATATCTTAATGCACTTGAAATAAGACAAGACTAACTTCAAAGACATTTTTAAGGAAGAAACAGGAGATTGCTTTAAGTTTTAAAAAAATCCTTAATATCGATGAAAAAGTACTAGTTCCACTAGCATAATTAAGAAATTATTGACTTAAAACAAGCTCTTATATCTTGTTGAACAGTTATTTGTAAGGTAGTTCTGTCGTATTACAAGTGTACCAAGATATTTGCACGAGAAACTAGGCCAAAAACACGAGGGCACATTGTCTTTTTGCAGTGTTGGACAAGTTCAATGGGCGGTTCCGTTCCGTTTCTACTCCAGAGGAATGTTAAAAGCATTTTTTATCATCTTCTGAGTTCGCCAGAACTCGTTGTGGTTTCTGATGACTAATGCTGACTGGACTCGGTATCCGGCGGATGTTGGACAGTTGGTCTTTAATCAGGCAGCTGGCTCCTGTTAACGGCCGCACGATACGCCGCGGGGCTGGCGAACTTCGCGATTACGATGTAAGCCATGATAAATAAACACTTGACTAAACAATGTTCTCGTCTTTCTGCTTCAAGCTTTAATGTAAACTTTGACCTCATATGAATGCGTGGAATTAATCACTGCAGTCTAAGCAGCTCTTGTGATATTCTTTTCACAACATCCTACTCCTGTTGATATTAATAGACTGCTTGTTTTAATATGACTAAAACAACTGCCTTCTTAAACTATAATCACCCACAGACGTTCAAGATTAAATCAATGAATGATAAAACATTCAACATTCAGACGTTCTGGCTGGGGAAAACCAAACTGGCTCTTTAATAGAACCGGTAAAGAACAGACTCCTGGTTTAGCACGGGCTCTGCTTTGATTAAGAACAAAACAACAACAACAAAAAAACGAAACAATTACCGCATGAAACTGAGGTTTCAGGTCATGCTGCGCCTTCTGAGAAAGTTTAACCCAACCCGATCCTGGGTTTAACATTCTCACTTCTGACAAAATTACCTTTGAAATGTTGTCGGTGCTCACGTAATTTTATGATTTAACCAAATCTACCTTACAGGCTAAAACATCTAACAAAACTGGTGTCTTTTTTCTTCTATTTTGCAAAGTGTGAAAACTAGCTAAAATATAAAGTGCTAATGCTAATAATATCTACACTTGTTTGATTATGACTATAAAAATACACAAAGGATAAAGTTTGTAGTCATTAGCCTGAGAACCCCAGCTAATGCCTCGCACTCAGTAGAGAGGACTATATTCATATAATGTTGTTAAATCAGCCGTTATCGCGTGATAACAGTTTGGTGACTCACGTCTGGTTGGATGGCTTTGAACACAGGAGCATCCATGAGGGTGATCTGGCCCTGAAGGAAACAACACAGCAGATGTTAGACTTCCTAAGACCAAAGATTCAAGTCGCAGGTTTCCTCAACTCCAAACCCCCAACATCATCATCATAGTTAATAACTTTTTTTACATCCACGATGCGTAACTTATTCAAGCTTGACCAGGCGCCTGCAACCGTAACAGTCAAAGTGGATATTTTTTCTCCCAGTTCAGCTAAATAAAAGTCGTTTAGAGCAGCGAATGTTAAATGAAGTTTGCATTTTTATTTTTGATGAATGTTTGCCATACATTTCTGAAAACAAATTAAAACTTGACGTTTCTTAAAAAAAAATGAATGAGATATCAATGCAACTATGTAAAAAGAAAAACAACGGCGGTAGATTCAACCTAATGACAAGACAAAAAGTAGCTAATCTTATTAGCTACTTTTAAAGTCATTCTGTTGCAGAAATTCAATGTAATTATGTTAAAAAAATGAAAAAGCTTCAAAAACATAAATTTGTTCAAATATGTGTCTTTCAAAATATTAAATGTAGTTCAAGTTTTGGAGAGCCACTGTTGAAGGGCCAAAGTACCACAGGTTGCAGACTCTTGAGCTAGACACTTCTCAACTACTAGAAAACAATTAATAGAGGTCTAAGAGTGATTTTAAAACCTGGAGCACATTAGAAATGCCTTTAAACCTTAGAGAGGAAGGAGTTTTACACAAAAATTAAGATGAGACTGCCATCTTGTGGTCACAAACGGCAGAACAAGCAATTGCAGCAAAGCATTTTAACCAGAGATCAAGATCCTTGTTTGAATGATCACAAAAGGGAATTGGGAGTCACAGAATAAAGCCTGTAAAGTATTACAGACGTGACTCTGAAGTTTATTTAGAGACACCATTGGAGAGTGTGTGCAGCGGCAGCTGAGGGAATTCCCTGAGTGCCGACTTGGCACTGCCAAACATCATTAATTATTGCTGCTCCAGACCTCATTTCCTCTTATATCACTCCATCTCAGCTCAGCACTTCCCATCTGAGCTCACCGAACACTCTGCTTTTAAACACTCGTACGGACGGTTTAACTGGACGAGCCGGAGGAAGCGGCAGACGACTTCAAACTGGACTCACCGCATACTCTTCGGGAGTGACCTTCAACACGTCAAACACGACGGCGTCGAAGCTCTTCTTCAGCTCGGAAGAGGCCTTATCGCTGAGAGACTCTGAGCTGCTGCTCTTCTGTGAGGGACAAACAACCAGAGTCAGGAATTATGGACAGATTGTTTTCATGATCAAGTGGAGATGTACTATTTTTTCTTTGATTGTGGAGAAATTGTGGAGAAATTTCTGCTCATTTCAGTTTATATGATTTTCTGAGGGTCATAATGAACAGGTGCATAATGGATGATGTTCAAACTGGTTCTAACGATGTGTAGTTATCTACATCAGGTCTCTGCGACCTTCACGAACCAAAGAGCCGATTTGGCCCACATACCAGCAGAATGAAAGCGGAAACGTTATACAGCCTTTAGTAAAACAAATAAAATAATAAATATCTACAATAAGAAATTTGAGGTCACTTTGTCATAATTTCATTTCTGTTTCCAGGTTTTAAGGGAAAAAAAATGATTAAAAAACGGATTGACCATGTTGGTCATTGAGACGAGACTAAAGGGAAAGCCGTGCAAAGGGTTTGAGATGATCGGGGTGCAGGCGCGGCCTTACCTCAGAGGCTGTTGCAGCTGTGTTGGAGAGGCTTGATTGGCCATTAGGGAGGTCCATCATTCCCATACCATCGAGCTTCAACGCAGGAGACCAGTCATCGCTCTCAGCTGCAGTAAAGCCTGCTCGGCCTCTCTGGACAGAAACACAACATCTCATACAACGTCCTCGTCGTCGCTGCCATTGACCCTACAGTGCAGCAGCAGCTCCCCCTAGCGGATAAAATGGGCATATTTATTACCCGTCTTGAGATCGGGTCAATACGACAGCGCAAAGTAAATGTACTCTTTAAAGAACGATCTTTTGTGATTGTGATAAGAATGTGTGTTGGCTCAGCGGCTGTCCCAGGAGCCATGTGGACACTACCACACTTTTACGACACACCTGAAGTCAACAGAGCAGAAGGAGCTTATTGGCTTCAGCTTTAGTAAAAGATCTCATGAGCAAGGAGTTCAGAGTTTAAGGTACTTTAACCTTTTCAAGGTATCTGTTATAAATAGACTGAAATTCAGCTTAATGATTTTATAACAAGACTTTATTGATTAATACTTTTTTCAGCTCAGGAATGAAATCACCTTCATTTTTTTAAGGAACAAGCTGCTTCACTATCATAATAGCAATATAATATATAACACTGATATATAAATATATCAGTGCTCTCAGTAATGTTGTTGTGACATCTTAATGCTATTCGGACAATAGATTTAACATCATATTTATTTTTTAAATGCACCAATTCTGACTCATAAGGAACCAATTTAAACTATTTTTACTTTAAAATAATTTGTACTTTTTACTTCCACTTTAAAATCAGGAGTTGTTTTTTATTTATTTTTTTTTACCTAATTTGTGTTTGTACCGTTTAAAATCCTTTTCGTTACCAACTAGGAGGTGCTGGTTTGACTCGTTTCAAAATGTTGCTGCACATTGCCGGTCAGCTGGCTAAAAGAAGGCAACAACACTTTCACATCACTTTTGATAAAGACACATCTGATCCTTTGAAAAAACTCCCAGTCGCTTAAAAAAAAAACAACGCATTAACCCCACAGGTTAATCCACTCCATGGGTGGAGTGGACACTAAAGAAGCGCCACCGTCACGCTTACTGAGGTAACAATACTAATTATAGTTGGAAACTTTCAAATTGTGAAATCACTTTTACATGTTTAAATGAGATTAAATTTGATCCATTTATCCAAAGACCAACTTGTAACACCTGTTTGGATCGTCCAAGCTGTTTTTCTTTTCCTCTATTGGAAGATCAGAAAAGTGAAACAACATTAAGTCGGTTCGATGCCAATGTGTTGAGCTGAGAGAACAAGACCGTGTGAAGTTACGCAACAGGTTAGTGGCAGGTTGCAACGTCAATGGAGATGATCACCAGACAAAATCCTAAGTTTTAATATCGATTAATATCATCTGATCTTGTCTGACGACCCCAGAGTGCATTTTCCCCTCCTGAATGGATTGAGCTTTAAGGACCATTAGCAGGCTTCCACCGCTGCTGCCCAGCAAAGAGCAAACAGGGTTACATCATGCGAGCTTCCCTCCTTCTGTCGGACCAGCATGGCCTGATTGCACAGGAAGCAATCGCTTCCTTGTGTTTACAAGTCTGAGTCTGTCGTTTATTAAATCTTATGCCTGTAATTATCTTTCTTTACTTCCTGCTCTGATGCCTTATGGATGCCTTGTCCTGTTCAGGATCTAATAATTTAGATTCTTCAGGGCACTAAACATTGTGGTTTGTATAAATTCACATATGGACAGATTCCTTTTCCTCCATCGGTGGTGGATCCTGAACCTTTTTTGTGTCGTGTTTCTTTAATTTTGGCTTTGCATAACTTTGTGCAAATGGTACAAAATCTGGCTGAGTTGTGTATTTTTGGAATGAGTAGTAATTTTCCATAATTGTTTTCTTTTCCACTGAAATATGATTCCTATATTTACTTTTAACTCCCTTTCCGAAAAGATGTTTTTTCATATTTCTGAAAATATTAATTTTAATGAATAGGATTGAAAAGAAAAAAAAACACTATTAAAGGGGTTGGTGATTCAAAAAATACATAAATATATTGAGGAGAACTAAAATTCATAATGACTTTTATAAATAAATGTGGATATTTACTCTTGCAGTGAATATCCACATTTATTCTAATTTTAATTAGAATCACTGCTACTGCAAAAAATGTTTTATTATTATTCTTCCAGTCTCATAAATCCTCAAAATTATACTTTGCATATACACAAGTAGAGGGATAAGAAAATGGAAGATTACAAAAATGAAAAACAAATTTCCACTTTTTATTATAAATCCAGGAAAAAAAAGATACATTTTAGTTGGCAGCATTAATATTTAAGGAATATTAGTTAGTTACTAATTGTATTCAGAAAAAAGAAATATTTAATTAGTAATCATCAAAACTGTACAAGATGAAAGGAAACTGAAGGAATCAACCATTGCAAGAACCCAATGTGTGTAGATAGATAGATAGATAGATAGATAGATATAGATAGATAGATAGATAGATAGATAGATGATAGATAGATAGATAGATAGATAGATAGATAGATAGATAGATAGATAGATAGATAGATAGATAGATAGATAGATAGATAGATAGATAGATAGATAGATAGATAGATAGATAGATAGATAGATAGATAGATAGATAGATAGATAGATAGATAGATAGATAGATAGATAGATAGATAGATAGATAGATAGATAGATAGATAGATAGATAGATAGATAGATAGATAGATAGATAGATAGATAGATAGATAGATAGATAGATAGATAGATAGATAGATAGATAGATAGATAGATAGATAGATAGATAGATAGATAGATAGATAGATAGATAGATAGATAGATAGATAGATAGATAGATAGATAGATAGATAGATAGATAGATAGGTAGATAGATAGATAGGTAGATAGGTAGATAGGTAGATAGGTAGATAGATAGATAGATAGATAGATAGATAGATAGATAGATAGATAGATAGATAGATAGATAAGCTGTCCATACCTAGTAAATGTGTGTCAAATGCGCATAGTGCCAGAGGGGAAGTTGCTTATTTCTCTGGATTCTCTTCTCTCCGTCTCTATCGGGTCCACTCTTTCTCAGAGGTCTGCTTCTGCAGCCTGGGCGGAAGAAAAAGAGAGAGAAGCTGAAAATGGAAAGAAAAGCAGCAGGATTGTTTTCTAAGAAAAAACCACAAAAACAAACAAACAAAAAAAAAACACTGCAGTATCTGCAGCAAGTAGCACACAGACCAAAAATCCCCAATAATGCGTCATAACACACCTTATTACATGCTCAACTCATATTGCCCCAGCATTACCAAAAGTGGCCAGTAGGTGGCTCACTACGCTCAGGGATTGCAGCTCATGTGATGAAATGAAAGCAATGTGTGCCTGCTGGCAGACTGAGGCTGGCCTTTACACTTCACACAGCGTCTCAGATCTCCTCTTCATCACGATCAGCAGCAGATCAAACAAAAGATCAACATTCATACTAATCAAAGTCATCTTTAAGGGCTTTGTTGGCCAAATCACAGGGCTTTTTCTTTCTGATATTCTACCTTTGCAACGACAAAAACAAAACTGTGGATTCACATTTTTGGAGGGTAGAAAAATTTCATAGCAAACTGCGTTCATAAAGTCTACATACATCCCTGTCGCATAGCAAGGCTGACCTCAGCGGTGTAAAAGCTCCATGCAGGTCTCTGCTCGTCAGTGTCATTCATTTCACCTGGAGCCGCTCGTCAGCTTTCAACTCCACTATCCTCCAAGCGGCTTATGGCTCCTTAAAGGAGCAGTACAGGTTTTGGGAAGTGAATTTCCAAGAAGCTATCAGTGACCAGACACGGAGTTAGAAGTACAGAAAGAAGTGGAAACAATAACATAGAAAGGTGAACCATCCAGCGAGCTGCTGTGTATATCCACTTGGTGCAGCGTCAGATTTAGCCAAAACTATTTGAATTACTGAAAAAAACGACAACAAAAACTCATACCTCGATTGGAATAATATTAGTGTGGATGAGATTTGTGTCCAAAATGCCAGATTACTTCTTTCAGCCAGCTGACTAGCAGTGTACAGCAACACGTGGGGGAGGGGCAGAGTCACTCAGTGCTCTGTGGCGGAAAGAAGAAGTCCCGTCACTCCACCACTTTCTCTGTCGCCTCATCCTGTCTTTACAACTGTAACTTTTAATTAGTATTAACCGGGTCCGATTTTTAAAGATCAGAAAATTGTAGTCAGCGCAACCCTATTTGCGGTATTATTATTTCAACACTGATGATGCAGCAATAATAGTCCACAAATATTGTGCATCCCTAATGTCTACACCGATCAGTAACCAGTAAATGTCAGTAGTTTGTAGAAAAGCGAAGAAATCCCCAAGGAGGTAAAAGGCTAACCGTTCGCTAAACACACCCTCTGTTTTAGCGAATTTAGCAATTTAACTAAAAGCGATGACACCAGTGAAATCCAGCACATCCAACAGCATCCCATGTTAACTTTATTACGAAAATCCCTGGTAGCGATAAATTCCCATGATTTCAACAGTCACTTTAAAAAGAAAAAAAAACAGTGTCATGACCTTCGCATGCAGTCATAACCAGCCCTCACTTCTGATAGAAAAGTCCTTTTGTCTGACATCGACACACCTGCCAGGAACGCAGACTGTTTAAGGTGACATAATTCCTCAGGGCTGAGTGTTTGGCTTCCTGAGGTTCAGAGTCCGGGGAATGTTAAGCGTTCAGCTGGCAGAATTTGAAGCATGCGGTGATAAGGATTTGGTTCGTATTTGGGCAGCCGCCAAAGCTCAACATGAGCCACGACAATGTTTTAGCAGAGCAAGCATGTCTTAAATAAGGCGAGTGGGAACCGGAGGATGAAGCTAGAAAATACCAGAGGAAGAGTGACAGAATGTAGAGCAACTCGAGTTGAGGCTTGTAGGACGGAGATGTGTCATTAAACTGAATATGACTCATGGCAGGTGTCTTAAATAAGAGCCATTTCTCCCTCTATTCACATTCTAAGACATCACAAGCACATTATCGGCACTTCACACACTCAAGTACAGGCCAAGCTGCTGAGAAGCACATTTAGATGGCGAGATTTTTTTTAATGCTCCAATATGCCTGCGCTAGCATATTTGCTCACCCGACGCACTCCAGGTACTGCGACAAGCATTTACACTCATCTCTCTGGAGGCTCAGAAAAGCAGGTCTTCAACACCTTCATCTAACAAACCCACTGTCCTCTTTACACGTCCTAGCCTGTGTCCTTTTTCTCTTCCCCTCAACCTCCCTTCACATAAAACTGTTTCATCTGTTGAACTTAAACAGCATATAACACAATTTGTACCATTTACCCAGCAGTTATTGGATTGAACCTCACAACTGTGTATTTTTGTAGCTATTCTCATGTCTACAGTTAATAAAAAAAAAAGCTAGAGAAATCAAGCACAAAGGAAGAGGTGGTTGGAAATTCTCCAAGTCAGAAATGAATTTAGAAACGGCAGATTTCTGATTTCTCCAATAAAAACGAGGAAGCCAGGAGAAATGTTTTCCGAAAGCAGTAGCTCTGTAACATCACAAACCGGCACCTTTTCCGGGACTTTAACAGCACTCTGGTGAATCCAGAGTGCTTAAAACAAAACCTGGAATAAATAAATAACTAAAAATGTATTTCAATACATTAAAAATGTCAAAATATATCTACAACATTATTTAAAGCTCATCTGTATATCATTCTGTTTTCTCAAAATGATAAGCAATTTAGTTTAAAAAAAAAAGTAGCTTCAAGCTAATGTTACACAATAATGATGTACAATCTGTTGTTCACTTGGCTCAGACACTGAGAAAAATTAAATGCTAGTGCAGCAAATTTCTGTTGGTGAACATTGTGGGGCAATTATTTGGAAACTAAATTGTCAACCAACACCCAGAGTCAGCAATAAACAATGGCAAAGCTGGCTGTGATCTACTTTTTTCATTTAGCTTTAATGTCACTGCCCTGCACCTCAGAGACAACCTGAGGATTAAAACGTTTCTAAAAAAACATTTCATTCGTCTTTCTCTTCTAAAACCATCTGTTGTTCATTGTGCAATTATTTGGATCCAACGTTTCCAAAGCCACCTTCATAATTTATTCATCTGTGGCAGCCATAACAGAGCTGTGGCACTGCTTCCCAGATGGTGCTGAGAACCAGGCATTCCGACCCAACGCAGCTCCACGGCGTTCCCTAATGTTAGACACAAACAGGAATCATCATGTTTTGCCGCTTAAAGCGCCTCATGTGTCCAAAGAGCTAACTTTGAGATTGTCTTTATGCCCAGCATCGTGCGATCACAAACAAATCTCAAGCTGTCAAGGCTGTATATAAAGAGTCTGGTATGTTTAGCATTCAGCGTGAACAGAGCGGTTGTGACAGCTCCCCGCCAGTCGCAGTCTGCGGCACCACATTTGACACCCAACAGCCCGACGAGTCTCATGTCTGAATCTGTGCCCGTCGTGTGAGAAAACGCCACAAAACACCCTCTCTATCTCTCTCTCATTCTCTCTCTCCCCCATGTTTGCAGATACGAGCAGTCTTTTGAAGTTTGCATGTTTCTGCGTTGCACGTTTTAGCTGCCTCTGCTGTTTGTGTGTATTGTTTAACAGTTTTCGCCAATGCCTGGTCGAAGGAGAGCTTGCTGCAGTTGGCTAAAAAAAAAAAACTGCAGCAAATGCACCAAAGTCAGGGAGCCAAAGTGGGTCAGTGTGCTGAGCTGAGCGGAGAAGGATGTGACAGCCCGTTAAGCCGTGCTCCCATCGTCTTCTCTTTAGAGCACATGGATACAGAGAGCACTGACGGGGTCAAAGCGATACTTTCATTTCTTCCTCTTTCTTTTTTTACATTTTTGCAAAGTTCAAGACTGTATAGAGCCTGGGGAGTCGGGTTGAAACGATTAATCGGATTAATTGTGATGAACCGATGACTAAATTAGTTGACATTTATCTCAATAACCGATTCATCGTTAATGGGAGTATACAGACTCAAAAAGGCTATTTGCTGGAAGGACTCCACGTAGCCGTAATTAAGTGTACAAAAACTATTAACATTTTGCATTTAAGAAAAAGAAAATCTCCAATATGTTCTACTCCGATCTCGTCAAGTCGCATAGACTTTGCTTCACCTGGTTCAAATTATAAAATCCAAATAATCTCCAATTAATCTGTTGCTAACAATTAACAGCAAACGATTATTGCATGAAAGTATTTTAGATGGATTCTTTGCTACAAATGATCTAGCATTCACTGAAGGAATTCTTTATTGTCGCATTTTAGCCAACATGTTCATATTTTTATTTGAAAAAACTATTTGTTTATTTCCATTCTCATGCATTTTTAATCTTGCATAAAATAAAGTTGAGCAGTTAAATGAAATATCTACGGAAAGTGCCAAATTTTCTTTTACCTGATTAAATCAATAGTAGAATAATTATTAGCTGCAGCCCTACTGGGAACAGGTTCATTCAGTAACAAGGGTTACATCCAGATTTGGCCACAGTGCATCCGTCATGAGGCCGTTAACCAGCAGGGACTGAGTCAGCGGCGCTCCAGAGTAATTCCATTAAAACCTGGATCCTCATTAAGCCGCTCGGGTCGGGTCGGGTGCCGGGGGGAGCACGTATCGATCCGGAGCCACGCGGGGGCCGGGCTGATCACACATGCTCTCTAATGGCACACAGGCTCGGTAATGAACCGAGCGTCACAGCAGCTCGATATGCGATGCTTCCACTCAGCAGGTCGGCCATTCAATCAGAGGCTGGTGGCGCAGCCTGTGGAGTAACTGGTGTGAGCGTGTGTGAGAGCGTGTGCGACTTTGCTGCTGTTCGGGGAACATAACGAACAGCCCCTTCACGCCATCGCTTAACATGCCGATGATGTTCTGATCTCCTCTGAAGGTCAACAAGAGAATAGGAGCAGCTTCATGGTACTTTACACTCAGTGGACAAGTACAGAATATGTTAGTAAACTAGTAAATATCACAGTGGCTCTATTATAACGTTTTAGAAGGCATGTTCTGCTATATTTGAAGCTGTGCTACTTTCAGCAGAGGTGGTTAGCCTTTGCAGTGTTTATTATGAGG